AAAGCTGTCAATGTCAAAATCACGACCAGAAAACTGGTTTACCTGGTACAGGGAGCTGTCCTACCGTAAAACATGGTGTACGTCAATCTACTCTTCCCTTGAGCTTCAAAGTGCTAACAAGTCCTCGCTAGTGAATCCTCTCCTCGTAATGATTATCGCTCTAGCAGGCTATGCCGTTAACCCCACCCCCTCCAATCCCCTACACGCCTGCATATTCCTCTCGTACCGTACTGCTCCGGATCCAAGCTCCCACGCACCAACCGAATACCAATATGACAAGGGCCCTCGTGATTTGGCGTTTGTTTTCTTTTACACGTTCCTCTTCAGCTTCACTCGTGAATTCTTGATGCTGCAGCTCCTCCGCCCAATTGCATTTTATAACAACATCACCAAGAAGGCCAAGGTATCTCGTTTTATGGAGCAGTCATACACGGCAATCTACTTTTCAGTGTTTGGTCCGTTTGGATTATACGTCATGTACCAAACTCCAATCTGGTACTTCAACACCACTGCTTACTACGAAGCGTACCCCCACCGCACCCACACTGCCGACTTCAAGGCCTATTATCTCCTCCAGGCTGCATATTGGCTCCAACAGTGCATTGTACTCCTTCTTCAGCTTGAGAAACCTCGCAAGGATTTCAAAGAGCTTGTTGGACATCACATTGTCACTCTCAGCCTTATCGCCTTGAGCTACCGTTTCCACTTCACTTGGATTGGCCTTGCTGTCTTTGTTACCCACGACATTTCCGATTTCTTCCTTGCTACCTCGAAGACATTGAACTATCTTGACCACTGGTTTATCGGGCCCTACTTTGGGTTCTTCATCTTTGTTTGGATTTACATGCGCCATTTCCTCAACCTGGGAATCCTGTGGAGTGTATTGACCAAGTTTAAGAGTGTTGGAACCTGGGAACTTAATTGGGAGACTGGGACTTACAAGTCGGGCTTGGCTCAAAGCGTTGCGATTGTTCTTCTTGGTAGTTTGCAAGCTGTCAATTTGTTCTGGTTGTGGTTGATTTTGAGGATTGCCAAGAGATATGTCCTTACCAGCGATGCCGTGGATGAGAGGAGCGAGGATGAAGATGAGAGCACCAGTGAAGACGGTGAGAAGAAGGAGAATTAAAGTGCTCGGTAACTCATTCTTTAATTCTTCTTTCTTATCGATTATCTTGCTTTATTTTATCGGATGAGAAATATCACGGATATGAGACTCGAAGGGGTTGCGGTCAGGAGGGTGGGCAAGGGGAGATTTAAGGCGTTTCAGCGGCAGTTAGCATTAGCAGTTGGCATTAGCAATTGGCTTCCGGGCGTTCTTACGCATTCTTTTATTCTGAATTCTGAAGCGCTTTCTAGCAAATGTTTTGTTGTTCAGTGGTTGGGATGCATGCGGGAGGCTCAAAGAAGCATGCTCTGTTAGATTATCGTGGTGCATGTTTTTGCTTTTTTTTTATCTTGATTTAAGTACTAGTAGGGGGCGTCTCTCGGATGGGTGTACACGTGTATAATGAAGCTGGTAGACCGAGTATTTTTGTGTTTATTTATCTTGATGCTCTGTTTCTTGGCTTGGTTGAGCAGCATAATATGGAGCTCGAGGAGATAAATATTCTAATATTTTTACATGTCCGTCGGTTTATGTGGGATTTATGTGTACCGTCAGCAATAGTAAAAAAATCTAGAACACAAAAACGAGGAGCAGCTTTCGGCTGCTGCGTAATGATGCTGATGTGTCTTGAACAAATATCCTATGGAATTTGGAGTCCGAAGATGTGAGGAATCAAGTGAACTTGATACATCTCGCGGTACTACTCTGGCCTTCTTATCCCTAAGAACCCTACACCATAGCGCGAGGATCCTGAGTGAGCTCTACCCCATCATCCCCTTCCCCACATATATTATACCTCCAGCCCGAAATCAGTTCATTATCCACGTACCCACGGAGATTGGGCTGCATTAGCAGTCTTTCCTAATCAACGACAGATCTAGGGATGCACGGTACGGACTATTGTCGGACATAGAAGCCGAGGAGATTACTTGTGTCCCGCACCCCCCCGCGGTCGAGTGCGGGGTCTGCTTTCGCTACCGCGGTTTTGGGAGGTAGGTACCGGTGCGCTCGGTGGAGGTGTGTGATAGCTGATATATGGCCTCACCAAACAGCCCCCTTATACGCTCTCCGTGGTGGGGAGTGAGCGCAATGCCGGTACTTATGTATGGAAATTAGACGCTGTACGGCGGAAGAAACATACTCGCAAGTGTATCAGGGCTTGGGGGCTGTTCGTCTGGATTCTTGATTGTGCGGTCGAGTAGCGAGTGATTTTCTGTGACGCAACTGTTACCTGAGCGGTGGATTGCGTGGCGCTTTACTTGGAGGGCGTGTGGTATCAGAGAGATGTCTATGAGGTTATGGTAAGGTGTATTTTCGCTCCGTGGGGGTATTTGTGGCGGTTAATACGGATGCTAGTGAAGCAGTAAGACTAACTATCTTCAGAACATGTTTCGAGTCTCAAGTCATGGATGCTATGGGGGGTGGCCGCACCACTACGGGTTGAGACTGGAAATCTATCAGAATTGGATACTTAAGCTAGGCATTGGGAACTTATTTTGACTTAAGGCACCTGCTTCCTCTATAGGGGCTGACGTTGATTTCCACGCCGCTGGCCAGCTAAGTGGTCTTTGTGTGACTTTATATCAAAGTCATGGGCTTTGACCCACCCCGATATATTGTAGATTTGGAAAACCTATCGTCAGTTTACGATAACACTCGGTGCCATTTTAGTGAGGACCGAGTGATATCACATGATTCAGGTTAACACATCTTCGCAAATATTAGTATTGTCTATTGTAATAGCCAAGAGCTTTAGGGAGTTATTAACAGTTTATAAATCCAAATGCCCCATTAGGGCCCTTTGTAAGATATGGATTGTAATCAGGTGTTAAATCTCTCGGCATGCGCCACAGGCGCCGCAATCTGTTAGGAGGCCATCATAACTCCCCATGCATTTCTCTTCATTCCGATAATAATGGTGAACTGCCACCAGGGGCACTGGGGGTTCAAATGCCGTTTCTTTCTTTGGTGCCTTGCTAAACAAATATCTGGTGCTTCGTGGCAAAATTAAAGGTGGCCTTTCCCCTAGAGTGGCTTGCTTCATGATTAAGTCCTCACAGGCCTATGAAATTATTCGCGTCTGAGGATGTCATGATATTATCAAATTTCAACTAGTAATTTCTTAATTACCAATTGTTCAAGAACCCAGGCTCCTAGCCCTGTTCCATCCTTAGTTAGCGAAATACTACATACCCTGGAAAGGAATGTTATGTTAGTAGATACGTACATACAGGGGACCTGCTGTGTTGTGTTGTTGCTAGAGTATTATATATGGAGTGGAAGGACTGTGCCAAGTGTTGTTTGGGGGCCTGGCTGGCACCTATCGAGGGCCTCTTTCATTCCGGTCTGGAAACTATGCACGCACGCCCGTTACCGTACCATAAATCAGAGCAGGGTATGGGATAGTGACAATCGATTTGATCCGCTAATCGGTCGCTGGCTGAAGTGAAGACAGAGTTTCTCCGGTCGATTATTAACGCTGCGGCTATTTCTCCGTTTCTTAATTGGGGTTGTTGTTCGCCTTTCTTTTTTTTTTTCTCTTTCGATCTTCGTTGGACACAACCTTATGCGTTCTGTGATCTTTGTGCAGCAGCAGCAGCACCACGCCGACAGGGACCTGAAGCGGAAGAGGGGGAGTGTGCAGGGTGCATTGGCCAGCAGGTGGTTATGGTGTAGAATTTTTGACTCTCTAGACACATGCCGATTGAGAAGCTTCTTTCTTTATTCAGTGAGCATCTTTAATTGGGGAGGGTTCGTCTTGTCCTTGGCCTGCCCGCCCCCTAGAGACGTACCATATCACAAAATATTGTAACAAATCCCTCTCTCCCTTTCTCTCTCCTTCTCCGTCCCCTCTTAGGGTCCTTCTTCTCCTCGTCACCAGCCAGCGACGTCCGCTCCTTCTGAATTGTTTTCGCCCGTCGGATTCGTTTCCGTTCTCGACCTGGTTTTTTTCCGAACATTTGTGCACGTGTGTCGTATTGTTTTTTCTGCATTGTGTTTCTCCTTGGGCGAGAGCTCTCGAGGGCATAATTGAAGTTGCTGCGACTCGCTATTTTTGTTTCCCAGGGATCGTATCGGTTGCGGTGGGAATCCGGGGGTTTTCTACTACTCTTGTTTCCTGTCTACCTACTGCGGCCACCATCTCACAGGTTTTTTTTTTTGTACGGTTGTGCGCCTACGATTCCTTGATCATCCTACAGTAACCGACAGAGCTCTTGTCTACTGCAGTAGTCTAGAGAGTAGTACTACTACTTACTAGTACCATACCGATTACATGTGTCTAGACATCTAGGCTCTTGAGCACTACAAGAGGGCTAGCCGCATACTAGTAATAACCAGAGTATCTACAATTCGTCCTGAAAAGCATAGATCAAGATATACTTTCGCACACACATGAATTACATACTCACCCTGGAATACCTACATACCTCACCACCAACCAGCCCCCCACCAAAATAAAACAACAGAACCATCCAACCACACGCATCCCACACCGCCCCATCCCCACCCACTGCTTGCCCCTTACCCTGTCTACATACATCATCATCGTTCCCCCCCCCCCCAAGCAAAGGAAAGGAAACCTCACCTGCACGTTTCCTCATCCTCTACCCACCCATCAGCTGTACCCATCAAACGTGGATCAAAGCACATCTGCTCGCCTCTCACGTCCATACCAGGACAGTTCTCCACATTGGGAAGCCACAGGTAACTCCCCGCTCGCTTCACCAAAGAGCTCGACCAGAGCAACTACACAAACAACATAACCCTCAAAGTTCCCACCACGACGTACCAACAGCAAAGAACCCCGAGCTCTTCGGGGTCTTCTCCCCCTAGTCTCCCTCCCCTGTCGCCTCCCGTCGCCCTCAACTTTCCGTCGATAATACCTGAGCTAGGGATGCCTTCTCCAAGTTATCAGCCGGATTCTCCGACAAACTCCATTCCCTCGCGGGACGGTGGCCAGCATACCCCCACATACCCGCGGGATTCAGACATTCCTGAGAGTCATATCTCTGAATGGGACACTGAGGATGTCGGGACCTATATTGCTTCAATAGGGCTGGATCAATATAGAGAATGTTTTATAGGTGGGTCGTTCTTCTCCATTCATCTACCCCTCCATCATCTCTATCGTCACCAAAATCCATATCTGAGATGGGATGGAATGGGATACCATTCGATTGTGGTAGTGTTACTTTGATTCTGACCGATGAGATCGATCTCTACAGAGGAAGGAATCGATGGCGAAGCACTTATCCATCTAGAACACGACGAACTACGGGATATTGGGATAAAGAGTGTGGGACACCGACTTACGATCCTAAAGAATATCTACCATCTAAAAGTCGCCCACGGAGTAACGATCGAGCCAGAACATTATGTTCCTGTTTGTATGTTGTTCCATTCCATCCTAAAATCCCGTGTTTTTCTTTTTTCTTTCCTTTTTCCTTTTTAGAAAAAAACCCCTTTGCAAGCAGCCGAATGCTGATTGGTGGCTTATCGCATGCTCCAGCCGCCGACGCCGATGAAAACGAGAAGGCTGCCACACAAAACGACATACAGCGCTTAATCGCTATCATACGTCGGCGGGATGAAAGGATTGTGCAGGCCGAACGCGACCTGCAGAAAATGCAGGATGCTTTTGTCAAGTTGCGCGAAGAGCTATTGCCGGTGTGGCGCATAATCAAGAACAGCCATAAGTCACTCCCAACGCCGCAAGGTAGCACATATCCGAACGCCCCGTTAATGACGCCGGTCGCATACCCTCCCGAACCTTCAGTATCATCACGGGGAGATGAACGTGAGCGTGAAACAGAGCGGAGAGAGCTTAAGCAACGGGAAAGGGAAAGGGAGAGGGAAGCTCGTGAAAGAGAGGCACGGGAAAAAGAACAACGAGAGAGGGAGAGGGAAAGTCAAAGGGAGAGGGAGCAGCAGCTACAAGAACAAGCTTTCCCTGTCAACAATCCAAATCTCTTGCCCGCACCATCTGCAGGAAAAGGCTTGTCTAGAAAGTTTTCGATGAAGAAACTCATACTTGGAACTCCGAAGAATGCATCTCCCACCCATCCAACACATCCAGATACCGTGAGAAACGAGTATGAACCACCCCCAACAGCAACGAATGGAGCTATAAGGGATATCAGGGACTCTTCTGCTATGCCATCACCAACTTCTCCGTCAACGATAAACCATCTCTCGCCAAATACAACTCACACCTCTTCGTCGCACAAACCACCTGAACGACGATCTGCCAAAACGTCCCCTGATGAAGAGCCTCCTAATACTGCCGGCGGTTCACAACCTACTGTCGAAATTTTCAAGTCGTTCAGGGTATCCATGGATGATCCTTGTTACAAGGTTCTCCCCGCTGCTCTGAAGCGGTACAACATCCAGGCAGACTGGCGACAGTACGCATTGTACATTGTGCATGGAGACCAGGAGCGTTGTTTGGGATTGGACGAGAAGCCGTTGATATTGTTCAAGCAGCTTGACAAAGAGGGACGGAAACCAATGTTCATGTTAAGGCGAAACGGTAATTTTGAAACCTCAATTGGACCTGGAACCGGGATACCAGGAGGTAGTGGATCCAGTATCTACGGAAGGGGCCAAGATATCACGTTACCTGGCGTATTACCAGGAGGGGTATTATAGTAACGGGGAAAATGTCGTGAAAATGGGAATTGATGGACATTCTATTTGGGCTTTAGCTTTGAACAGGTGCACACGGTGTGCAACGGAGTCATGAATTTTCTTGTGGTTTTTAACTCCTTCTTGGCTTTTGTATGTTTTTCCGAGTACTAGCCGCATTGGTGTGACGGGGTTTTTTTAAAAAAAAGTGTAGGAAACATTTGCGTTTGCAGGGGGTTTGTCTTTTTCTGTGTTTTTGATTTTTCGGTTTTTAGCTTATGGCGGCCATGGTTTTATTTTCTTCGAATAGTACAGATTTAGTTTTCCTCTCTTCTTGCTTATTGTTGTGTGACAACAGCTATTATTACCTTTTTTTTTGTCTCTTTCTTTCTGGATACCATCTTGGGCTATTTTTGAATTATCGTTTGGGGTTGTGGTTGGGATGGGTTGGGGTGGTGGGTGAGTCGAGGTTCAGCGGGTTGGTTGGGTTAGGTTTCGGACGTTGGGTTTGTGGGGATTGGGTTCTGAATGGTTTTGAGTACTTGCACCAGTATCATTACCTCTATCTGCTGTGCGGGTCCTATTTTGTTTCTTCCCTTTGTTGTGTGTGGAAAAACGGCCGGTTGGTGCAGGCGGGGTCAGATAACACCTACCTATGCACCATGTAACCTCTACGTCTTCCTCTTCCTCTTCTTCCTCTTCGTCCTTCTTTCTTGGGAAACTGTAGTGTAGTTGTAGTGGGTAAGAATGAGCAGAACGATCGAGATAGATAGCTGGGGAGATGGGGGATATACAATACATGTAGTCTATATAGAATACAATAGGCATCCATACATCTACATACGTTCCATCCGGTTATTTTTGTTTTTTTGTTACTATTTTGTTTTTACCGGCGGGGAAGACCGTGGTGGTGGTGGTGGGGTTCGAGGGTTGATAGTATGGGTGCAACTGCGCTGCATGCGCAACTGGGGTTAACTAACGGATAAAGCATCCACCCCACCTCACCTCGCCCCACCCCACACCCACCTTTTTATGCGGTGTGATGTTGAAATAAGGATTGGGGATCGGACCGGACATGTGCAGGTGGGTGGGTGGGTTGCGTACTTGTGGTCATGGGGGTGGTGTGGTGTGGTGTGCATCATGGGATGTCACTCGATGTTTCAAAGCGTGGGGGTTTCGTTAATTGAGTAATTGATTGATTTGTTTATTTGAAGGTAAGTGGTGAGGTTACGGGGTCCTATATGATCGCAGCAGGGGCGGCATTGGGGATGGACATGTATGCATTGAGTATATGTACAGGCACTGGCAATGATTAGTAGGAGAGTAGGGCTTTTGAAAGAGATCGCCGATGCATACATGTATGTATCTTGTATTCGGTATATGAGCCCTCACTCGTTTACACGTATGCAATACTCTATGGGCAGATCTTCCTGTCAATTAGCTGACCGCGAATGCTAGGTATATATAGCAATGTGTTATCAACCCCTACATCGAGGTAAAACATCTTAAAACAAGACTGACCCCCGAAGCTAGTACAGTACATAAACACTTACCAATTCGGGACCAGTCGAGAGCGGATAACTCTGCACAAGGTACGAGGATCAGTTTCTCTGTTTTACGAATTGTCAGCCTTGTAGTTCTTCTGAATATACTGATCAAGATGGCTAGGGTCGCCTTGGTACGCGGGTTTGGCCTATTTAGCCTAGTATATCTAGGGGATATGCGCAAGTATTACCTACAACAGCTTCTAACCATGTTGAATCACTAATAACAGGACTTTTTGTCTAAACTATTCCAGTACCCTCTGTTGGCAAAAGTTACGGCGTCTACGCAAGGCACGCCTTAAACCACCCTACCTAGCTAACCTAGCGCGTACCCACCACAACACCATACCGACACCAGAGCAAAAACACCTCCTAGTACTGGGTTATACATGTTTTTCAAATCTATTCCCTCTCTCATTATGCGAGAACCCCTTCCCCGGTAGTTTACATAAACACCCCCTTCGCTGGATCTCACGCCTACTTACGAGTGATAACTCATGACCCATACATTATCGCGCCCTCCCCTGCCGGCAGCCGAGAGCAGGTCTCCGGGTCAGAAATAAGGTTCGGCACGCCGCACGCTGCACGCGACTGCTTCGTCGGCTGCATTTCCCGCGGGTTTTGCCACTGGCTTGCTTAGTGCAATTCTTATCCCAACGTCTTAGCGTGTGTATGTGCTGTGCTGGCAGCAGCTGAGTTCATGGCTTATCAGTATTCCCCTCCTGACTAGGGCGAAGTTCAACCGTTAGTTTTCCTTTTTATAAAAGCCCTATGGCTGAAAGGGTTGAAGGTTACGTTATGGTAATGCATTACATTAATGGCATTTATTTTAGTTTTCAGTTTCTAGCGGATTGATACACTAAACATTTATACAATTTACACATTAATGAAAGATCTTAAGGACCGTCCTTCCAGCTCAATATAGAAACAAATTAGGAAATAAAAGGATATACCACCCCAGAAAATTATCAACATGGAGTCACCGACCCTAAGGTATTCAAGGAAAAAGAAAACCCCTAGTATATAGATGACAAAAGAAATATAAAAAAAATATACAAAAAGAAGAAAACCCCTAAGACCGACCCATCCCAATAAATAAGTAGAGTAATATATGATACCATCTGAGCTGAGCGCAGCCGCTAAATCAAAAATCAAAATCAAACCCCATGCAGCCCCAAGAAAAGAAAAAGAAGAAAAAAAATAATCACAGGAAGTCTAAAAACGTCCAAATCCATCAGCCGTAGATCATATTACTCTGTCTCATATACCCCGTCTCGCCCACTACACCACTGCCTGGTCCTGCGTTTCTCCTCCTTTCATCCTCACGATCACTGACTTCCCGCTCGTCTTGCACAAGCGTACACATGACGCAGCAATAAGCCTTTCCACAGTCGCTCATGAGGGTGCCTTCGAGGTGGTACTTCTCCCGTATGCGGCCACGTTGGAGAAAAGTAAATATCCCTTTAATTTATGTTAGTATTAAGGGAGATATATGGGAAGGAGGTGTGGATAGTTACATGATACTGGTGCCAAGACGCAACACCCAACGCAATGGGTATTACAATGGTGGAAGTCATTAAGGTTTGAGTTGGGGATAGTTTTTAATCTGTGGTTTGTACGCGAGTATAGTATGCATGGACACCAACACCCTATACAGCCTGTGTATCACCCTCAATGATTAGTTTCAAGCAATCCCGCATCAAAGAAAAAGCGGGGAAGAGTGGGGTAAATGCAAAAGTAACTTACAAGTAGGAATATCGCCAAAGCAATCACAAAGCCCATGTTGATATTCATCCTTCCCATGCTGCTGATTTGGATGCCCAATCTGGCCTGGCGCATGAGTCCCTCCATTTGGTCCGCTCCCGCCACCCGGTGTATAAAGCGGAGTTTTCGGCCCCTCCATTCCAACTCCGGGTGTATATGACGCCGCGACAATTGGCTCTGGCGGTCTCGTAATCAACTCCACGCCCTGATCTGTAGGAGGCGGCGTTTCCGTCGCTGGAGGTACTGAACTTGACATTATTGTGGATTGTGGTACTGGTACTGAAGGTTGATAGATTTCTGATGTGGGCGGAGGTGGAAATGTCAGAGTTTGTGGTGCAAACCCTGGTGTATGTGGTATATGTGGTGGGTATCCTGGAGACTGGGGAAGTGGCGGATACGAAGGAGATTGCGGGTGAGGTATAAAGGAAGGTGAGTGGGGAGGTGGTGGAAATGATAGATGCGGTGGTCGGAATGTTGCAGATCGTTGAGGTGGTGGGAAAGATGGCGAATGTGGTGGTGATACGTATTGTGGTGCCGGGCCGTACTGCTGTGATGTACGTCGGACAGTTTGTTGAGCTTCAAATTGTGATTGAGGGAAGCCCGGCGAGGGGAGGGGTGTTGAGTATTGGGCTTGGATATGTGCGTCGTAACCTTGCTGGTACTGGTGGAGGTAATCAGTTGGTGGAGGTGGTGATGATGAGGATTGCTGATACTGCAGATCTTGTGCTTGGGGCTGCGATTGGTGCTGCTGCTGGTACTGTTCTTGACCTTGGGGCTGCTGCTGATGGTGACCCTGGTACTGCTGTTCGTGGTCTTGGTACTGCTGTTCGTGACCTTGGGGCTGATGATTATTCTCAATACCCTCTGGGACAGAGTATTCTAACCGCGGCTGCTCCTGCTCCACCACTTGAGGCAGTTGCTGATCGCGAACCCACGACTGTTCCTGCTCCACCACTTGAGGCAGTTGCTGTTCGCGAACCCGCGACTGTTCATTGAAATTCTCCTCCACAGGTGACTCGTCCCCATCAAATACCCGTGGTAATCTTTGTTGTCCTACCCCAGTTACAGGTTGTTGCTGGTCCATCACGGGAGACCGAAAAGATGAGTTTGGCGGATTTGGGTCCGTGGGGGTGTGTAGTGAAAACTGCGACGCTTGAGCCGGGTGCAACTGATAGTACTGTTGCTGGGTGGAGTATGGCTGCTCTTGTCCTTGCTTCCGGGACGCCATTGTTTATAGGGAAAAATAAAGAATGACTAGTAAGAAGGGGAAAGATCCAGATCCTGGCGTCGTGTGATAAAAAACCTCTTATTACCTTGAGGTCTTGGGAGTGATGTGATGTCTATGCAGGCGCCAAATAGTAAGGGGAGGAGAGGCAGGACTAGATACTTCTTAAACCCCCAAATAATTATACTAGTGACAAAGGTCCAGACAAGTCAAAAGAACATGTATGTAAGAAAAACAAAATCCGTGATGCTAACTATCCATTAGTTAAGAGAGAAGCGCGACTGAATAGCAAGCGATATATTGCAGATAACGTACCTACCAAAAGCGCGAAAAACAACTTGTACCCCTGATAATGAAAGAACGATTTTTGTCCCCAGATTCAAATGCGATGACGCGACGTACGGCAAAGATCAAAGCAAGAGAGAAAGTCAATGCTATGCTATGGCAGGGCTGAAATATTTGGCGCCTACAACAAGTTTTGTGGGGAGATGGGATGGGTGCTGCTGCGTTACGACGCAGAAGGAACGGTACTGGGTGGGCAGCGGCTATGTAGGCCCTGCAGTAGTAAGAAAGCCGGTAGACGGTACAGTAGGTACAGTGGATAAAGAAATCAGAAGCAGGGGGGATTATGTTCTGTTCCTTTCCTTCTGGAAAGATGTGACAGTTCAGAGTTATTGGTGAGAGTACAAATGCTGTTCACACCCAAACATACATGTAAGTATGTACTAACTGTATTGTAACAAATAACAGGTTTGCAAGTCCAACAGAGATTCAGAGTAGAGGGGGGCGGAGAGAAAAAAAGGTAGGAATTGATTGACTCGTAATGGATACTTTTTATGACCACCCTCTCGTAAACCCAGAGTCATCCGCAGCCTCTCATCCAGTAGCAGGTACTGTCTTCCATGCCTTAGGCACTGTAAGAAGTCCCCTCTCTTCCTCCTCTTCCACCCTTTCCCACCTCACTCAGGTGAGGCGCACGTGGAGAAAGCCCAATCCCTAATACCGACATCGGTTATTGGTCACCCGTGATGTAACTTGTATGCGATAGCCCAGACTCGTAGTGCTGTCGCGATGGGCTCTCAACCACCCATCCCTCTGCGCTAGTGGAAAGGGAGGAAGCAGACACGGGCAATCACCGATTGGCGACGGTCCGCCTTCCAATCACCGTGCGTTTCCCGTCGATTAATCCCTGTAAGTGATTCGACCCAACCTTGGATGATAGGCACTTAGAGTAGAGTAGAGAAACTTTCATGTCTGGGTGGTAAATAACGACATACACAAGGGCGCGTGGATCATTGGCCGGGTATGGCCGTTTGCGAAACTATAACTAGGATGAGCCTTCCCCTCGTGCTGTCAGAATTGACATTTCTAGGAACAAGAGCAGGAACAGGAGTAGCAAGTGTGCAAGGGCATGAGGTTGAGGGTGAAGATTTGCATATATGGAGGTAGGCTGTGCCTGTTGGTTTGTTGTATCTCGACACCTAACCAGATGTAACCTTGAGAGTTACACTCCATGCCATTTACTACCAACACGGTATAATACCAGTCTGTCAAATATTCTTGGACTCGGCATTGCGAGTTTTCATATGCGAGATGATGCACATCATAGAGTAAAGCACCCTAGCCTAAGGGCCGAAAAGAGAATCTGTGCGGGTCAACATGCACGATTCCCGGGTTTCTTTCCTTTTCATTGTGTCGGTCTCGCCACTTTTAAATATCGGCCTTCCGGATCTGGTTATTAAGTGGATCTGTCTTCCTTTCAAACACCAGCACGAGGCGTTGGCGGGTCTGGGCTTTTGCAATCTTGCTATGTATCGCGCGCGTGCCTTAATGTTGACTGTAAATCTGAAGGGGGGAAGGTTTTTTTTTTTCTCTCAGGAGGATCTGCGTCGCGGACTCTATTCAAGAAAGGGAAACACAGTTAGCTATCCAGCACTCGTTACAGCTAGGTATGTAGTTGCTCATAACTGTCAACAGTTGTGTTGGTATCAAGGTTTTATGAAATGAGGTTTTAGCTGATAGGAGCAAGTGTATATTAACTATCCGTATTGTTCAACAGTCTCCCCCTTCCAATCAACAGCAATTCTCTATCTTGTTACTACATAGCGGGTATGTAGTGTATTTAGTATTCGTCCGATGATACTTGTTCGGGATTTGATTGGGTTGGATGTTCCCGAGTGAGACCTTGTGAATATGTCGCCTACTAAGAGATTAAGCGAGATGCTAGAGTAACCCTTATCCAATTGAATCTCAAAAGTGTGTGACCATGGCTTCTCTTGTTGCATATCTCCAAAAGGTACATATGTATTAAGTATTCGTACTTATGATGGTGGTGTGTTGGCGTTGAGGTCTAGAGTCCATATATTCTCCTCGGCCAGAATCCAGTCCATCTGAGTCCAACCTCAGCGAAAATTGAGTGCCACATAGACATGTGGATCCAGAACGCGACTAGACTCTCCCCCAAAACCTGGGTATGTATGTACTCGGGGCAGGTAACAAGAACCTGAACATAAAAACGCGCTAGCAGGGGTCAAAGTGGTTGCTACCAGAAAAACGATGTTCAGGTTCTTCATGCCTACCGCGAGTACTCTACCCTATGTAGGTACACCCTCCACCATTATTCCCCGAATCGCCAATTCTAGCGATACATAATTAAGACCTCCGGTCTTTGGGTAGGATAGAAGACGCTCGGCGCTTGGTGTGCTCAGACATAGTGGGTGCAGTTGTTGATTGGTAAAGTGGATCCAGAATTCTGCCTCCATTCATTCCCCTGATCAACCAGTCCCCGGTAGGAATTCGCAGTGGGCCGGGGCCATTTCGAGAAACTTGAGATTCATTCTGATTCGACTATAGCCTAGGCGTGTGTCTGGCACCGTGATTGAGGTTTGGCGGTAGACATTAAGATCTACCTTATCGAATGATAAAGCTCTTATGTTGAATGAATTTGCTTAGATTAATATATCAGCAACATGTACATACGAATTTAGTCCACAACATGCTTCCCCCGGTCTCTTAGCTTACCTTGCCCCGTGATTTTGACTAGCTAAGCTAGAGCGAATGACAGTATTCACTCTCATATTGGAGGCCCGAAGGATTTAGAGTTGAAACCGTTTGAAGTGACTGTAACGATCGAAGAAGGGTGGTGTTTGGTGAACGAGGCTAGGATGTTTTTAACGGCTCGGGGTTTTGTTGTCGTTGTTCGAAACTTAAAACCTAAATCTGCAGCAGCATCCTAAACACAACAGAACGTTGATGTTGACGATGACGTTCAGATCCAACAATCTCCCGCAAACTACATGTTTAGTTCGAATCACCATATGAATCCGGGGGTGGTGGCATCTGAACAACCATTAACTGCATGTGCTACTGGTAGACATCACCACAAATTCCCCCCACGAGATTTCTATTGCTCTGTACGGTCTCTCGCACACGTGCGCGAATATGACCGTCCCCTGGTATTGAACAGCATCAAAGGTCATTAGAAGATATGAGCCAAAGTATGACGTACGTCTAGCCATATATATATATCCCACTCCTTCAGACTGTTTCCTGAATATCAAGTTACAGACTGACCCGTGACCAGCACAGCTGTATAAATTGTTTCTATAAGCAGTGCTAGTCTTACCAAAGATTAGAAATACATAACTGCAGATATCTTAGTTTGGTCGTCTAGATCAACATTTTGGATACTCCTCTAACCACCTATCGACACTTCTAGGGACCGGACAACCAATTACAAGCCAATGGTTCTACTAGATGACATTAAATATCAACCATTTGGTAACAGTACATGAGTCGAAATACATTGTGTATGGGAATGGGGTCAATGTCGATTTGAATGGAATCCTACCCGTTGGTCAGGGAGTTTCTACTATGGAATAACAGACGCTTTGACGAACCACTGATTGCTTCATCGTTTTATTACTTGGTGAAGCTTATCTACCCAATCATCAAGGCATGGGCCAGAAGCTAAATTTAGACCATTATTTACGCAACCGATTGGGAACATTGCATGATGAGCTTCACCTAATCAAATAAGCTTACCACCATGACCAGAGACGTTTTAGGAATCTTTTAAAGATATGGCGCGAGAAGGCATAGGGGGTGGATATGTCAACTTCAGAGGAACCTTTTTTGTATGGGAATTAGAGAAAATTCCACCGTTAGGCTAGGCACTAGTACCATTGTGTGAGTATACGTAGATCTCCCAATTTCTATAGATTGATTGGCTGCAAACGCCGAAGTTTACACACCTACCCACTATAGCTTCTCGGTCCATATATGCAGGTACATAGAGTACATGTATGTACCTGCTCTATGACTCTGTATTTTAATAAGACATACACGAACAGACTTTTGAGACCTTTCATTACAGCGTGTGTTGACCGTCGATATTTCACAAGGCCAAACTTAAGAGCATCCGTACCATTAAATCTCGCTACTAGGCACGCATACCTATATTACAGCACATATATTAAATAGCAGATAATTGGAACCCCTGGTCCAAGCGGTCACAAATCGGGAAGCTGCACCGAATACATGCGCCCGAAAGAAAGAAAAAACCTCCTCTCCTTCTTAAATTTGGAACTTTAGCTTTATACCTGATAGATGTTTACCTGGTACAACGGGATATTTTATTGTGCACGCATGATCGAATGACAGCCGGTATGTACCTGCTTTATGCGCAGCTCAGTGGTACAATATGGTTTAAATACCGAGCGAGCGTGTTGCAGATCCCACCGTCCATCCCGTCAGTTCTCATTCGTTAGTTCGTTAAAGTAGATTAAAGCACTGATACGGTACTATTATCAACGTACGTACACGGGAAATGGCCATGCGTGGTTCGTTTCAGGGTTCCTTTTTTATATCCATCGATATCCCGGCAGAAAAACTGTTGGTGATTTAAAACATCTCCCTCAGAGTCACATAATCGAAGATTGACTTGGTAAAGTATTATTATCCCCCCAGACTTGGCATACATCTCGCTTGCTCGGATATAATGT